GAGCTCAGAAGTTTGAGACCAGCCTGGGCAACATAGTGAGACCTCATCTCTAAGAATTAAAAAAAAAAAAAAAAATCAGCCAGGCGGGGTGTCCCGTGATTGTAGTCCCAGTTACTCGGAAGGCTGAGGCAGAGAATCGCTTGAGCCCGGGAGTTCGAGGCAGCAGTGAGCCAGTATCGCGCCGCAGCACTCCAGCATGTGTTACAAAGTGAGGCTCTGTCTCAAAAAAAAAAAAAAAATTAAGACTAAAGTCATGGAGAAGTTAAGTACCTAGTCTGAGATGACACAGCTAGTAAGGCCAAGTCTGTTTAGAATCCAGGCGGATTGGCCACACTACTTTTCGCTCACGATCCCGGGTCATGAAATCCAGTAACACTGTCACTTCGAGAAGTCCAGAAAGAACAAATACATGCAAGGTCAGAATCAAACAGCCACGAGAATATAAAACGCGACCATGGTCACACAAAAGGTCGCATATTCGCACGACCTCAGATGTCACTGGACATGGTCTGTCGCCCGGGAAACCCCAAACTCCAAATTCCATGGCCGAAGTTTCACACATACAGTCACACAACGTCACTCCTCCCTGTTCTAGCCGCTGCCAGGACCTTAAGGCTCCAGCTGACCCGGCCTTCACGGGCACTTGAGCTCTCACCACCTTCACCACTTTGTATTCTAGTCTCAGGTAGAAACCCGAGAAGACGGAACTAAACAGACTGAGCCAGGCTTCCTTCACGGACCCTGCGAACCTGCAGCTCCAGCCCACTGTAAGAAGGAAATGCCTTTTTGCAGGGGGAGAGGGTGGAGTAGGGCCGCGAAGGCCTCTGGGAAATGTAGTTCGGGGCAGGAAGCAGCGGAACGACTCGATTCTTCTCAGTACCAAGTTGTGCTCCCAATCTGAGAGCTGGGCTGGCAGAGGGCCGCTCCGGCAAAACCCTAGGCTGAGCTCCCCTGCGCGGAGCTGTGAGCCCTGGAACGCCGTGGTCGGCTTCTCAGGACGTGCAAACGGGGAAGCGGGTCCCGCCCGGGTGAGCCGCGGGGGCCTCTGGGAAGCGTCTCCCCTGGTCTAACGGACCAAGGCTTGTGGCGCCCTCAGCCACCTACAGCCCCGGCCTCAGTGGCGCCTCTGTCCCAGCCCGCGCCGGCTGTGCCTCTTCGGCAGCGTTACGTGTGGTTTCGGGGCCTGTGTCCGCGGGCTCGGTGGTGAGTCCTCCGGAAACCGCTAGCTCTGAGCGCCGGACTCTTTGTGCTGGGTGGGAGCGGGGGCCCGCGGACCCGGTGCCCCAATCTTTGGAAGAGGACGCCAGGCGGGGCGATGCCTGTGCCTGTGGTTCCCTGAGGCAGTGGGAGTGGCGTGCGAAGGACTGTGAGTCTGGCGTGAAGTGACTGTCATTTGCCAGACGTTTGTCTGGCTGAGTGTGGCCCCGGGAGCGTGTCCGTAAGCGGATTTCGTGGAGGCGCTTTCCCTTTTATCTTTCAGTATGAACCTGCGTGCAAACATGCGTGACAGTGGGATGTTGAATGAATGAAAAACTGTTTTTGCAAGGTAGGGTGTGCTTGTGGGTGTAGATGTGTGACACTTGGCATTTCTGCCAGCGCTGCATGTCTTTGGCTATGGTCATTGGAAATAAGTTCTTTTTGTTTGTTTTTGTTTTGTTTTTGAGACGGAGTTTCGCTCTTGTTGCACAGGCTGCTGGAGTGCAATGGCGCGATCTCGGCTCACCACAACCTCTGCCTCCCGGGTACAAGCGATTCTCCTGCCTCAGCCTCCCGAGTAGCTGGCATTACAGGCGCGTGCCACCACGCCTGGCTAATTTTGTATTTTTAGTAAAGGGTTTCTCCATGTGGGTCAGGCTGGTTTCGAACTCCTCACCTCAGGTGATCCACCCGCCTCGGCCTCCCAAAGTGCTGGGATTGCAGACGTGAGCCACTGCGCCCGACCGGAAATATGTTTTTATATGAAACATCGATAGCCTCAACACTTTATTTTTAATTTTATTTTCGTGTATTAGCTACATTGTTTTGTGTACGTACTAAACTCATTCTCCTCGTCCCCTACTCCACCTCATTTGGGGAGTAGAGTGGGGTGGAGAAAAATACAGAAAAGCTCGAAGAACAAAAATCATTCATAGTTCTACCAGCCATGCAACTACTGTCAAAATTTACTTTCCATCTTTTCACCCCCGCCTTTGTGAATACATACGTATACGTTCATATGTTCTATATATGTGCATGATGGCTTCAAAATTGCAGTCACACTATACATACAACTCTGTAACCAACCTTTCTTATTTAACAATATATGATTAGTATCTTTCCATTTAAACAATCACAAATTATGCCATCATTTTAAAGTATTTCATGGTATACGTTTACCCCTGCTGATGGATGATTTAGTTCTCTCTAGCTTATCGAAATTATAAACTGTGTGTTTATCAGCAACTATTTGGCACATATTTTAATGTACTTTTCTAAATTTTTTGGAGGGGGAGCAGGCTCCTAAAAGTAGAATTGATAGGTCAAAATGTATGCTCTTATTAAAGGTTCCCTGAGCCTATCCAATTATTCTTCTGTAAAGTTCCAATAATCTGCAGTATTATTGGCATAAGACTGCCTATATCCTCATACACCATTGATAACAATGGATATTCTAAATAGTAGTAATCTTTGTTCCTCATGGCTATAAAATAATTAATTTACTATAAAACAATTGTTTGATTACTTATTGAAGTCAAGCATTTAAAAAATCTTTTGTGAATTATATGTTTTCTAAAGTAGCGTTCTGTTTTCAAATTTATTTTCCAGAGTTCTTCATATATTAAGGATTCATTCATTCATAGACTCATCATTTATTGAACACTGTCTGTGTAACAGGCACGATCCTAGGTGCTTGGGATATAGCAGTGAACAAGAGGCAACCCCCCTACTATCATGGTACTTACATTTTTGTGGGCCAGATAATAAACAAGGTAAGTAAATTAAATATGAAGTATATTAAATGGTGAAAAATACTAAGAAAAAATGTGAAGTGAGAGGATATTTAGAATTAGAGATGGGAGTTTCAGTTTTAGATGGGCTCTTCAGGGAAGGCATCCTGAAAAGGTAGTAATAAAGATATGAAGGAAGTAAAGGATCTATTTATGCATAAGTGAGGAAAGTTATTCCAGGCCGAGGGAACAGCAGTTGTAAAGGCTTTGAAGTGGCACCATGCCTGTTAGTGAAGAGGCTGGTGTGGCTGAAATAGAGTAATTGAAGGGGAGAGTAGTGGGAGAGAAGAGACGAAAGGTAAGTGGAGGGGAGGAGGGCAGATCAGATTGGGCTTTATGGCCCGTAGTACTAATTTTGGCTTTTCCTCTGAGTGAGATGGGAAGCTACCGGAGGGTTTTTGAGCATGGAAATGATACTATCTGCTTACAATTTAAGAAGATAGCTTTGGCAGCTCTGATGAGAATGGCCTATGGGAGGACAAATGAGGAAAAAGCGGGCAGGTCAAGGGAAGAAGCAGAGAGACCAATTAGGAAACTACAGTTGTGTTGCTTAATGATGGGTATCCATTCTGAAAAATACTTGGTTAGACAATTTTGTCCTTGTACGAACATCATGGAGTGTACTTACACAACCTAGATGGTATAGCCTCCTGCAAACCTAGGCTGTATGGCATAGCCTATTCTCAGGCCACAAACCTGTACAGCATGTTACTGTACTGAATACCATAGGCAACTGTAACACAATGGTAAGACATTGTGTATCTAAACATATCTAAACACAGAAAAGATACAGTGAAAATGCAGTATAAAAGATTAAAAATGGGCCGGGCGCGGTGGCTCATGCCTGTAATCCCAGCAGTTTGGGAGGTCAAGGTGGGCGGATCACGAGGTCAGGAGATCGAGGCCATCCTGCCTAACAGGGTGAAACCCCATCTCTACTAAAAATACAAAAAATTAGCCAGGTGTGGTGGAACACTCCTGTAGTCTCAGCTACTCGGGAGGCTGAGGCAGGAAAATCACTTGAACCCGGGAGGCGGAGCTAACACTGAGCCGAGATTGTGCCACCGTACTCCATCCTGGGCAACAGAGTGAGATGCCATCTCAAAAATAAATAAATAAATAAATAGATAAGATTCAAACTGGTACAGCTATATATATATATTTTTGTGCGTGTGTGTGGTGGTGAGTGAATACGAAGGGTTAGGACATTAGTGTACACTACTGTTGACTTTATAAAAACCCTACACTTAGGCTACACTAAATTTACAAAAACATTTTTCTTTTTTCAGTAATAAATTAACCTTAGCTCACTTTATACACTTTTAAATTTTTTAAACTTTTTTACTGTTTTATAATAATACTTAGCTTAAAACACATATTGTATAGCTGTACAAAAATATTTTCTTTATATCTTTATAAGCTTTTTTCTATTAAAAACGTTTTAACTTTTGAAACTCCTTTGCTGAAAACTAAGACACAAACACATTAGCCTAGGCTTACACAGGGTCAGGATCATCAATATCACTGTCTTCCACCTTCACATCTTGTTCCGCTGGAAGGTCTTCAGGGGCAATAAATATGCATGGAACATGCAGGAAACAAAAAACATGCATTGTTATTGTTATCATCTCCTATGATAATAATGTCTTCTGTAATACCTCTGGAAGGACCTGCTTGAGGCTATTTTACAGTTCACTTTTCTTTTAAGTAGGATTATACTCTAAAATAACAAAAAGTATAATATAGTAAATACATAAAGCAGTAATGGTCATTTATTATTTTCAAGTATTATGTACTATACGCATGATCAATAATCAATAATATTATCAAATACTAATACCATACACAACTGTATATGCTATACTTTTATACCACTGGCAGTGCAGTAGGGGTGTTTTGTTTACATTAGCATCACCACAAACATCATAGAGTGTACTTATATAAACCTAGGTTACATGTGTAATGCATTGTGCTATGACGTTATGATGGCTATGACGTCACTAGGTGATAGGAATTTTTTTTTTTTTAAAGTTCAGCTTTTTATTGAACACGTTATAAAAGAGATTTACTCAAAAAGACCAAAGCCCATGTCATCATCAGACTCCTCGGATTCTTCTTTCTTTGCTTCCACTTTCTTCTCCTCAGCTGGAGCAGCAGCAGTGGAGGGGGCAGGACCTCCTGCTGGTGCAGCACCAGCTGCTGGAGCAGGTCCACCAGCCCCTACATTGCAGATGAGGCTCCCAATGTTGACATTGGCCAGGGCCTTTGCAAACAAGCCAGGCCAAAAAGGTTCAACATTCACACCGGCTGCTTTAATGAGGGCATTGATCTTATCCTCCGTGACGGTCACCTCATCGTCGTGCAGAATGAGGGCCGAGTAGATGCAGGCGAGCTCGGAGACGGAGGCCATAGTGCGGGCAAGTGTGGGACTGGTGCGGTGCTAGTCGCCAGATGAAGTGAGGCCCTCACTCCAACGCGGCCTTAGCTTTCTCGGAAGGACCAAGCACCTTCGCGACAGCTGAGGAAAAAAGGCAGGAATTTTTTAGCTTCATTAAAATCTTATAGGACCAATGGTTGTATGTGTGATCTGTTGTTGGCTGAAACGTTGTTACGTAGCATATGATTGTATTGTAGTACTTTAGGGAAAAGATATTGGTGATCTGGACCAGAGTAGTAAAAATGGTGAGAAGTAGTCATGTACTAGATATAATTTAAAGGTAGAGCTGCCGTGATTTGCTGACAAACTGAGGCAGATTGTGAATGAGACAAGGTGACACAATATTGTTTTTATGAGTAACTTGAATGGAGGTGTCATTAACTGCGAAGGGGAACAATGTATGAAAAACTGACTTGGAATGTAGGAAAATAGTGAGATTTCAGTTTGGAATATAGTATGTGAAATGTGAGGATGCCCATTAGACATTCAAGTGGAGATATCAAGGTGGCAACTGGATATACAAGTATGAAGTTCAAAAGGAGAGACAAAAGAGAGATCTAAGGTCTAGGATGGAGACATATTTGGGAATTACAGGATATAAATGATATTTAACACGAGACTGAATGAGATCACTTAGAGGTTAGGATAGATAGAGAAAGGTAGACAAAGGACTGATCTCTGAGTCACTCTAACATAACAAACTCTGGGAAGTAAGGAGGAATTAGCAAAAGAGACTGACGGGGACTAGCTTGAAATGTTGAAGGAACACTAGGTGAGTGTGATATTCTGGAAACCAAGGGAAGAATGTATTTTAACAAGAACTGTGTCAGGTGCTACCAATCGGCCACGTAAAATGAGGAGTGAGAAAGAAACATGGAATTTGGCAACATGAAATTCATTTATTAGGGACCCTGAAAGCAGTGTCCATGGAATTTTAGGCCAAAGAGAGAACTGGAAAAGAAAAAATTGGAGATATCAAGTCTAGACAATTCTTGAAGATTTTTTTTTTTTTCCTAAATGGAAGAAGTGAAATGGCATGGTAGCTGGAGTTAAGAGGTATACATTCTGTTTATATACTGATTGAAATGATCCAGTAGAGAGAGAAACTACAATACAGGAGAGAAAGCAGATAATATAAAAATGTCCTTAAGTAGCCAGAGCAAATGAGATCTCATGGCAGAGTTTGGCTGAGCTTGGACCTTGACCATGGTAATAACAGGAGAGAAGGGAGAAGTACTCAGGCACAGATACAAGTAAATGGGCAGATGTGTTGGTGAGAACTTGTGAACCTTCTCTTATGATTGTTTTAACTTTATAGTGAAGTACCTAGAAAGAGACTCAGATGAGAGTGAGACTGGTGCTAGAGTTTGAGAAGAGCAGGGGAAAGAAAATCACAGAGATTGGGACAGAAAATAGAGAAATTATGATTTTTAGGCACCATTAAAGACCCACTTAATGTTAGTATTTATGAATTTAAACTGAGCCTATTCTGTATAGCTGTGTGTTTTTTCTCCTGCAGTGTTCATCCGCATAGTTGCAGCCACAGACAGGTTAAGGGGAGATTTGGATTTAACCAGAATGTTGGTTTCATGAAGCAAAGAGGAATAATGTGAGAGAGAGGCAAAAGGAGTCTTAAGTTGGCAAAATAATTGATTGTTGTTTTGATTTTGGATTTTAGGCTAGGTAAGTGGAAAAGTGAAGACAGGAAGAGGGTGAAGGACAGTAAAAAATTAGTAGAATCAAGGAATGGAAGGTCCTGACAGGGTTGAAGGACTGTTGGGTTGTAATATTAGAGGAAGTAAGGTGAGACACATTGAGGGATGGGCCGGGCACGGTGGCTCATGCCTGTAATCCCAGCACTTTGGGAGGCCGAAGTGGGCAGATCATGAGGTCAAGGGATCGAGACCATCCTGGCCAACGTGGTGAAACCCTGTCTCTACTAAAAATACAAAAATTCGCTGGGCATGGTGGTGCACACCTGTAGTCCCAGCTACTCCGGAGCCTGAGGCAGGAGAATCGCTTGAACCTGGGAGGTGGAATTTGCAGTGAGCCAAGATCACGCCATTGTACTCCAGCCTGGCCACAGAGCGAGACTCTGTCTCAAAAAAAAGAATATTTTTCATATGTTTTAAAAATAGAACAGTTCTTCTTACCACTATACTGGTTTTAGAAAACATGGATGATTACTAACTAGACCCATTATTTCAGTAAGGGCTGCAAAATGGCAATATTCTAATTCTGTCATTCCTTCGTTTACTAGCTAGAATATTTTCCTAAAGAAAAAATTTTCCTCGTCAACTGTTTGTTCACCCTTAGGTACAGTTTGTACAGAAAAGGCAGAATAAATGGATTCTTTCCCTTTATATGATTTTGAGTTATTGAAGTGGTTCTCTGGCTTCTCCTAGTGGGTTGTTTTTATTATTATCACCATTATATATTCATCATTTTTAGCATACTTGATGTGTTTTAAATTACTGCACTTATTTTCTTTTCCAAGGTTAAATGTTCTCATCTTTGGCTACTGTTTCAGGATAGCTTCTGAATCCTTTTAACACATCCCCAGTAGTGTTTGATGGTGTCCTACGTTTCTGATATGATAGGACATCCCCAGATCATTTTGAACATTTTCTGCCCTATGCATGAAATCAATATTTTCTGTATGGTGCCCTGATTGCTTTAAGTAGGAAATGGTATTTTGAGACCACAGTTATAGTGCTTGTTGCTGTTGGAATGGTTATTGTTGTTAGAGGGTTTTTGTGTGTGTGGACAGAGCTAGGATATATATGTATATATTTTAATAACTTGATTAAGATATAATTCATAACAATACATTTTACCCTTTTAAAATATACAGTTTAATATTTTTATTTTTATTTATTTATTTATTTTTTTTTTTGAGACGGAGTCTGGCTCTGTCACCCAGGCTGGAGTGCAGTGGCCGGATCTCTGCTCACCGCAAGCTCCTCCTCCTGGGTTTACGCCATTCTCCTGCCTCAGCCTCCGGAGTAGCTGGGACTACAGGCGCCCGCCACCTCGCCCGGCTAGTTTTTTGTACTTTTTAGTAGAGACGGAGTTTCACCGTGTTAGCCAGGATGGTCTCGATCTCCTGACCTCGTGATCCGCCCGTCTCGGCCTCCCAAAGTGCTGGGATTACAGGCTTGAGCCACCGCGCCCGGCAATATTTTTAAAACTATATATTCGGCCAGGTGCAGTGGCTCACGCCTGTAATCCCAACACTTTGGGAGGCCAAGGCGGGCGGGTCACAAGGTCAGGAGTTCGAGAATAGCCTGACCAACATGGTGAAACCCCAATTCTACTAAAAATACAAAAATTAGTCTGGCGTGGTGGTGCGCACCTGTAATCCCAGCTACTCAGGAGGCTGAGGCAAGAGAATCACTTGAACTCAGGAGGCAGAGGTTGCAGTGAGCCGAGATCGCACCACTGCACTCCAGCCTGGGCGACAGAGTGAGACTCCATCTCAAAATAATAATAATATTAATAATAATAATATATATAATTGTATATGTATTTTTTCATGGGGTTATGAAACTACCATCACAATGGAATTTTAGAGCATTTCATCACTAAAGGAGACATGGTATTCATATGGGATTGATGGTACGCATCCCCTAGGTCCTGCCCAACCTAATCAACTACTGATCTTTCTGTCTCTATAAATTTGCCTATTCCACACATTTCATATAAATGAAATAATATATTATGTGACCTTTTTTGACTGACTTCTTTCACTTAGCATGTTTTCAAGGTTCATTCCTATTATAACAGGAAATATATTCTTAACAAAATGAGCATCATGAGTTCATACTGCTGTTTCCAATGTTAAAAATTTTAGCCAGGTGCGGTGGCTCACGCCTGTAATCCCACCACTTTGGAAGTCCGAGGCGGGTGGATCACGAAGTCAGGAGATCAAGACCATCCTGGCAAACACAGTGAAACCCCGTCTCTACTAAAAAAAATGCAAAAAATTAGCCGGGCATGGTGGCAGGCGCCAGTAGTCCCAGCTACTTGGGAGGTTGACGCAGGAGAATGGTGTGTGAACCCAGGAGGTGGAGCTTGCAGTGAGCCGAGATTGCGCCATTGTACTCCAGCCTGGGCAACAGAGCGAGACTCCATCTCAAAAAAAAAAAACAATTAAATTATAGAGTTTTAACTTTGGTTTTATTTTTGTAGCTTTTATCTGCTCAATGATCCATCTGTATATCTATATATGTATGTATAAATAAGATAATTTCAGAGCAACATTATTAGTCCTTACAATATTCCTACAGTAAATAATTTTAACATTTCTTTATAGATCTATTTGCTGCTAGAATATATCCCTCTAGAGAAGTACAGTCCAATTATTGAGCTTTAAAGTAACTATAACTAATTTCCATGTGGTTAAGCTGAAAACTTGATACATGATTAGTTTCATTTGTTTTATTTTGCTTCTGGTTTTTAGGTATAGCTTTTGTTTTAACATTTGATCCAATTTAATTTTGTCCTATAATTATGTAAAACACTTACATGGTTGGAAAGTCAGATATACAAAACAAGGTGTATTAAAGTGTACACAAAACAAATACAGAAAATAAAGAGAAGTCTTGTGTTTATTCTATTTGTGTCTCTACCACCTTTTAGTAACCGTTTTTAAATTGTTAAATTTTTTGGTTTTCCTTCTACTTTTTAATGTAAGCAAATATGCATAAAATGCTAGTTTACTATCCATATTTTTTTTTGTTTTACTTATCCAGCTTTTTCATCATAAATAAATTTGAGGATTTGGCTTGATAAGCTGAGTGAAAAACTTTTTGGTAATTATGATTGAAATTATATTAATTTTATAGATACTATTGGGAAAATAGGCATCTTTACCACGCTGACTTTTTCTGTCTTTAACTATGGTATTTATTTAAGGTTACTTTTGTGAACCTTAATACATTTTCTTGACTATGCTCTTATACAGCTTTTGTTTGAATTATTCCTATTGTCTTGGAGTTTTTGTCACTTTTGTAAATTGTGAATAAGTTAGTTAAAATGCCACATAGACCTGCTACCACATTTAACACACCTTTCTCCTGGTTAAGTGTTTGCTTGGGTGCGACCT